CCACCTTCTCACTGCAGTTGAGGTTAAAGACCTGTATTTGTGTGTGTGTGAAAGGTGAACGGAACAGAAGCTGACTATGAGTTTGAGGAGATCACACTGGAGAGGGTGAGGCAGACTCTGGGTTCATCTACCCTGGGTTGGAGCCGACCTGTTTCTCACTGAACTGTTTGTTCTTCAGGGGAACTCTGGTCTTGGCTTCAGCATCGCTGGTGGAACCGATAATCCTCACATCGGAGAAGATCCAAGTATCTTCATCACCAAAGTCATTCCTGGAGGAGCCGCCGCCCAAGATGGACGCCTCAGGTGAGCCGCAGACAAACTGATGCTGAAGTTTGGTCACATGACTCAGTCAGACACTGACTCAGTCAGTATGAGTGTCTGTTACCCACAATTCTCATTCATGATGGATGAGTCACATGATCAGCCGATGAAGATCAGGTTCATTTCAGTCACAAAATCCTCACATGTCACGTGATCATGTGAAAACTCATACCACTCACTTTTGGCGCCACCTGCAGCTGCAGCCAGAGAAAATCGATTTTAGTTCAGACCAAAGTCCATGGAGAAAATCAGAGATTTTAGTTCAGACCAAAGTCCATGGAGAAAATCAGAGATTTTAGTTCAGACCAAAGTCCATGGAGAAAATCAGAGATTTTAGTTCAGACCAAAGTCCATGGAGAAAATCAGAGATTTTAGTTCAGACCAAAGTCCATGGAGAAAATCAGAGATTTTAGTTCAGACCAAAGTCCATGGAGAAAATCAGAGATTTTAGTTCAGACCAAAGTCCATGGAGAAAATCAGAGATTTTAGTTCAGACCAAAGTCCATGGAGAAAATCAGAGATTTTAGTTCAGACCAAAGTCCATGGAGAAAATCAGAGATTTTAGTTCAGACCAAACCTCCTGGAGGTTCTGGTCCGTTGCTGCCTCTCATGGTCATTTTTTTTTCAGGAGGTCAAAGTTCCGTTTTCTGTTGGTGATGTCTGGACAGGTTCTGTGTCAAAGGCAGCAGTGGTTGTATCAAATGAACATTTCTGTGAGCGTGACTCAGGACATGGTCAAACATGTTTTTTAGAGTCAACGATGTCATCCTACGAGTGAACGAGGCGGATGTTCGTGATGTCACGCACAGTCGAGCCGTGGAGGCTCTGAAAGAGGCGGGTTCTCTGGTGCGGCTCTACGTCCGTCGCAGGAAACCCGTGTCGGAAAAGCTGATGGAGCTCAAACTGGTGAAGGGACCCAAAGGTAACTATGGCAACGACGGCTCTCAGCTCTCAGCTCCCAGGGTGGAGGTGACCAATGATCCGATGCATCACTGTGCTCTGTGGCAGGACTGGGCTTCAGCATCGCAGGTGGAGTAGGAAACCAGCACATCCCCGGAGACAACAGCATCTACGTCACCAAGATCATCGAAGGTGGAGCTGCGCACAAAGACGGGAGGCTGCAGATCGGAGACAAACTACTGGCCGTAAGATCAAACTGCAGTTTTTATGGGAACAGGAAGTGACGCGTCTTCCTGCCCGAGGGACGGGACAGGAAGACACGTCGGAACTGGGCCTTGGTGTAGACACCTGGACGTCTGTGGACTGGTCCACCTGGTCCACGGTCCTGGTCCTCCTGGTCCACCTGGTCCCCCTGGTCCACCTGGTCCACCTGGTCCTCCTGGGCCACCTGGTCCACCTGGTGTACCCGGTGTACCTGGTCCACCTGGTGTACCCGGTGTACCTGGTCCACCTGGTGTACCTGGTCCTCCTGGTCCACCTGGTCCCCCTGGTCCACCTGGTCCACCTGGTCCTCCTGGTCCGCCTGGTCCACCTGGTCCTCCTGGTCCGCCTGGTCCACCTGGTCCACCTGGTCCACCTGGTGTACCCGGTGTACCTGGTCCACCTGGTGTACCCGGTGTACCTGGTCCACCTGGTCCACCTCCGTCCTGTGTTTCCTCAGGTGAACAGTGTTGGTCTGGAGGAAGTCAGTCATGAACACGCCGTCACCGCCCTGAAGAACACCCCCGACGTGGTTTATCTTAAAGTGGCCAAACCCAACAGTGTCTTCATCAACGAGGGCTTCGCTCCGCCCGACCTGACCAGCTGTGAGTCACGGTGTTCTCCTCCTGCTCCTCCTGCTCCTCCTGCTCCTCCTGGTGTTTTACTCTCCTCCACTGCTCTGTGTTGCAGCCTACTCCCAGCACGTGGAGAACCACGTAACTCCGCCCACCTTCCTCGGTCAGCCCCTCCCCCAGCCTGCATCATCAGGACGCTACTCACCAACCCCGAAGAGCATGCTGGGAGATGAGGAGGTTTCACGGTAAAGGTCGCACTCCCCCTGTTGGTGTTGTCCAGTAACTGTATCTGTTGTAGTTACCTGTACTGTCCTGTGACCCCCCCCCCCCCCCCCCCCCCACACACAGGGACCCCAGGAAGGTGGTCCTGCAGCGAGGAGGCACAGGTCTGGGCTTCAACATCGTGGGTGGAGAAGACGGAGAAGGAATCTTCATCTCCTTCATCCTGGCTGGAGGTCCAGCTGATCTGTGTGGAGAACTGAGGAAGGGGGACAGACTGGTCTCTGTACGTACACACACACACACCTCAGTGACACCAACTGACCAGAGGAGGCAGCAGAGCAGCGACCGCTCCAGGGGGCGCTGTGACTCTGACTCTGACTCTGACGGTGTTGTTTTCAGGTGAACGATGCTGATCTAAGAAACGCCACACATGAACAGGCGGCCGCCGCGCTGAAGAATGCTGGCCAGAACGTGACCATCATCGCCCACTACAGGCCGGAGGGTGAGTCGAACGGACGGAAACACACACACACACACACACCTGAGGGCATGAATAACCGCGTGTGTGTGTGTGTGTGTGTGTGTGTGTGTTTCTAGAGTACAGTCGATTCGAGGCCAAAATCCACGACCTCAGAGAGCAGATGATGAACAGCAGCATCAGCTCAGGGTCTGGATCTCTGAGGACCAGCCAGAAGAGGTCGCTGTACGTCAGGTGAGGTCACCTGAGGTCGCCACGGAGGTCGTCAGGGGTTAGCCATCAGCTGACCTTCGCTCTCCGTCCACAGAGCTCTGTTTGACTACGACAAGACCCGGGACTCCGGTCTCCCCAGCCAGGGCCTGAACTTCAGGTTCGGAGACGTCCTCCACGTGGTCAACGCCTCCGACGACGAGTGGTGGCAGGCTCGCCAGCTGACGGCTCAGGGCGCGGTGGAGGAGGTGGGCGTGATCCCCAGTAAGAGACGGTCAGTCCACTTGTCTGCCGCTGAACTTCCACGGCCTCTTGGTCCACCGTGACCTTTGACCCAGGCTCGAGTGTGATGACCCTGACATCTGACCTTTTGACAGGGTAGAGAAGAAGGAGCGAGCCAGGTTAAAGACGGTGAAGTTTAACGCCAAGTCTCGGGATCGAGGGGTGAGTGTGTGTGTGTGTGTGTGTGTGTGTGTGTGTGTGTGTGTCTGTCGCTGCTGCCACCTCCTGGACCACGCCCACTAATGAGACTAACGTGTGAGGCTGCTGAGCAGTTAACAGCATGTGAGCCATCAGAGCAGCGCCACCTACCTGCCAAAACAAACATGGGCGTTTTAAGTCCCTACACCACTGCATCGCCGTTTAACAGTCGGTCTGACCCCAGGGGGCGGGGCCAAACGCTGACGTTGATCTCTGACTGTCTGACACTGACACACTACTTCCTGTCTTTCCCTCTCGTCCGTTTCTCACTCAGCATGTTCTGTCCTTACACTGTTCTTCTGTGGCTGCATCAAGGACTGATCACGTGATGAAAACCCACCAATCAGTGAGCGAGAACCTGCTTCACTTAAAAACCAGAGAGAAAAGAGAGCAGGAAGTACCTGCAGACTTCAGAAGGCTGCCCTCTGGTGGTTTGGATCTCTGGGCTGATTTGTTGGTTTTTGACCAAAAATAAAAACACTGAGGACACCCACAGGTCAGTCAGGGTATCACAGGTGCTCACGTCTCCAGTCTCTTTAAATGTGAAGGTCACATGACATCTGCAAAGGACTAATCAGCTCGTCAGCATTTGTCCTGCATGTCCCGCCTCTTTTGTCTAATCCAACTTCCTGTTTGACTGCAGATAATTGTTCCTGTAAAAGTGTGTGTGTGAACACGGTTCTTCTCTGTAGCCACGCCCCCTTTTTAACAAACAGTGAATTATCACTGATAACTGACTGGAGGGAAATCTGTCTGTGATTGGCTGTTGACCCAGGGTTAGCCCCTCCCCCTTCATCGTCATCATCTACCTGACGATACAGGGAGTATCCTAAAAAATATCCAGCAGGTAGATTAGTCTGGTCTAGGACTCAGGTCAAAGGTCAAAGTCTCGAAGTTTGTTCAGACCTCCTCATCAGCCCTTCATCCCTCCTCCTCTTGTCTCCTCCTCTTGTCTCCTCCTCTTGTCTCCTCCTCTTGTCTCCACCTCTTGTCTCCTCCTCTTCCTTTTCCTCCTCAGCAGTCACTCAATGACAAGCATAAAAAGAAACTTTTTTCGCGAAAGTTTCTGTTTGCAAAGAGCAAAGAGGCGAGCGAGCAGGAGACCAGCGACGTGGACCGTAAGTAATGGCGTGGCGGGGTGGGCGGGGTTTGTGTCCCAGGGATAATGGGTCAGCGACGGGCAGTCAGTGACGGGCAGTCAGTGACGGGCAGTCAGTGACGGGCAGTCAGTGACGGGCAGTCAGACGTCAGGCGGTGGCAGCAGCGAAGATGTCAAACAAACAAAAACAGGCACCTCGTCACGGCCGCAGGGAAACGCTGCCCCTCGGTGGTGGTACGACATTTGGGCTCCCCGTCCTAAAACAAAGATGGCCGCCCTGCAGTCGTGACGGTGGTAACGCCTCCTACTTCCTGCCGCTGTCGTCCAGTAACTTTGTGTTTGTGTGGTTGTTTTGTTTTGTTTTTCGACGCTGCTGACGTCAGGACATCAACGATGACGCAATTTACAGAGGCCACAGTGAGTATGACCTCAGGTAGACCACGCCCACACAGACTCCCACCAGCTCAGGAGTAAACTGACCTTCAAGTTACGAGTTGCTGACACTGTGTTATGAGCGCCCCCTGCCTTCACGTCTAAACACAGGTGCAGAGACTACTTTAAAAATGTAGCTCGTATTAAAGGAATTTAAACTTGCAACCAAAGTCCAGACAGAGACGGAGAAAACACTGGTGCTGCTGCCTCTGGTGGCCAGTTTGAGTCACTGAAGTCAAGCTGAACAAAGGACTTTTAAACAGAAGTCAAATCTATGAGACATTCAATCGGTTCCTCAGTCAAAAACAAAAAGTAGTTCCACCGTTTCGGTACATTTTTTTTTTTTCTTAGTTAAATGTCGAACCTGAATTTCCAGGTTGTCGTCGGTTCATTTGACCGAAGTGTGTTCTTAGCCCAGGAAAAGTTCCAGAAATTATATCCCGTCAAGACCAAATGCTACATGGTTTATGAATTTTAAATCCGACATCACATCGACTGACCAACAGGGGGAGATATTGCTCCAACCATCTCAGACCCTGTTCACACGACGACGATACGACGCGACTACAGCCTCCGGTTACGGAGCGTTCGCAGGAGTGTCTAATTGGAACTGCTGAATACGACTCCAGTCCCTGTAGTACATATGCCCGGCCTGTATGAGGCGCTGTAACGTAGTAACACTGGAAGAATTTGAACTGGAAGTTCATCAAACTGAAGAAGAAGCCGCAGAGCGAGTTTATAAAGCTGCGAACTGTTAACGGCAAAAGACGGAGATAGCTAACTGCAGCTAACTGCAGCTAACTGCAGCTAACTGCAGCTAAAGCTAACTGTAGCTAACTGCAGCTAACTGTAGCTAACTGTAGGTAACTGTAGCTAACTGCAGCTCACCAACTCGCCAAACTTAGTGTCTCCAGCGTTGTTGTTATTGAGCAGGGGAACTGGGTTGAACGGTCTTCAAACCATCGCTCCATCTTCAGCTAAACACGAGGCTGAATCGGTTCTACAGCTCCGGGTTCCGTAGTCGCAGAGTTGCCGTCAGAGTTGTTGATTTGAAACTGCGGAATCTGTGCTTAGACGCAGGGCCCCCTGTTGGTTGTTTTACTGATGCAACATCACTGCAGACTGCCCCCTGCTGGGGTCTTATTGGCCTTGGTTCATGGTGGACAGATGCTGATGGTGCTGCCCCCTGCTGATCGGCTTTTTCTTTGTTTTACTGTCATTTCAGAACATGTGACTTCCAACGCCAGCGATAGTGAGAGCAGCTACCGTAAGTCTGAGTGACCCCGCCCCCTGATTGGACAATAACAGCATGACATCACATTCATCTGCAGTTTCACTTTCTCTCTATGAAAACTTAAAAAAAGTACCTTTAGTCCCCCTAGTGTCCAAAGTAAAACACAACATCCTGATAAAAACCCATGTGATCATGTGATCTGACTGTGTGTGTGTGTGTGTGTGTGTCTGTGTGTGTGTGTGCAGGTGGACAGGAAGAGTACGTCTTGTCGTATGAACCAGTCGTGTAAAAAGTCCAACTTCTGTGAAACAATGATTTGTTTTTAAAGTGACTAGATTAGAAGAGGAGACACGTGATTGGACAGACACCGATCAGCTGACGACCAGTATGTGGTTAAAGTCTGTGAAGTCCACTCTAAACAACAGCAGACATTGGCTTTGAGCTAAAGTGCCACGACGAACCAGGTCCGGTCTGAGGTTCTGACCCTGTTCCTCTCTCTCTCTGACAGTCAACTACACTCGCCCCGTCATCATCCTTGGACCCATGAAGGACCGGGTCAACGACGACCTGATATCGGAGTTCCCCGACAAGTTTGGTTCCTGTGTTCCACGTGAGTTCCTCAGAGCAGCGGCCCGTGTCGTGGCGTTGGTTCTGGGGATGTAACCTGGTTTTAAATTTGGCCCCGCCCTCAGATACCACCCGGCCCAAGCGAGAGTACGAGGTGGACGGTCGGGATTATCACTTTGTGGTTTCCAGAGAGCAGATGGAGAAGGACATCCAGGAGCACAAGTTCATCGAGGCGGGACAGTACAACAACCATCTGTACGGGACCAGCGTTCAGTCGGTGCGCCAGGTGGCCGAGAAGGTACCGCCCCCTGCTGGTCTTATACAGCATCTGTCCATGATCTCCTGCTGCACTGCTGCCCCCTGTGGGCTGACTGGTGTACGTCCTCACCTTGGTCATGTGACTGGATTTTTCAGGGGAAACACTGCATCTTGGACGTGTCGGGAAACGCCATCAAGCGCCTGCAGGTGGCGCAGCTCCATCCGATTGCTGTCTTCATCAAACCCAAGTCTGTGGAGAACATCATGTGAGTTTGATGGGCGGAGTCTTCCTCCTACTTCCTGTTTCCTGTCTCTCACTGACGTGTTTGTGTTTTTAGGGAGATGAACAAACGACTGACGGAGGAGCAGAGCAGGAAAACCTACGAGAGAGCCTTGAAACTGGAGCAGGAGTTCACTGAGCACTTCACAGGTGAGGAGGTGCAGGAGGAGGAGGAGGAGGAGGAGCGGTGTGTCAGTACGACTCCGTGTGTTAACTCTGTGTGTGTGTGTGTGTGTGTGTGCGAGCGCAGCCATCGTCCGGGGAGACTCTCTGGAGAACATCTACGACCAGGTGAAGCAGATCATCGAGGACCAGTCTGGACCTGTCATCTGGATCCAGTCCAAGGAGAAACTCTGAACTCCAGCTGCACTCCTCCTGCTCCCCTCTCTGACCTTCTCTTCTTCCTGTTTGTCTCCTTCACCTCCATCCTTCACCTCCATCCTTCACCTCCTGGTGTCACCGGGCCAGAACAAGTTTTCTCCTCATCCCCCCCCCCCCCCCCCCCCCGCCTCTCCCCCTTCTCACTCAGAAGGATCCAATATCATAAGGGCAGGTTTTACTTCCAACATTGGTGTAAATGTTGTTGGGTTTTTTTACTTTTCTTTTTCCATATTAAAAAAATGCATGCAGTATGTCAGTCACAGCATCAGCAGACAGCAGGAAAATATTTGTGGGGGGAAAAAATAAATATATAAATACATGAAAATATCCCCAAGCATGACAAATGTTCTTGTTCTTCTACCAACATAAAAAAAAACTCTTCTCCGGAGCATTTGTTTATATTCAGTCATTCATTCATCTTCTACTGTTTAGTGCTTGTCAGGGTTTGCGGGGGAGCTGGAGCCAATCCCAGCAATCATGAGGCGAGCATTGACATTGTATTTTGCAGTGGTGATGCACGATAACCATATGTTGGTACGTGGTTCTTTCCATTTTGACGTAATAACTAATAAAACTTATATATAATCACATTAAAGCCGAGTCATCCGTGTCTGCTCCAGGAGGAACGCAGAACACGGAACACAGACAACGCACACAGCTGATTCAGACGTGAGGCAACATCTCTTCTGGATGAAGGGCTGCTGACCTGACCTCAGCAACTTTTACACATCCTGGCATCAGCTAACATTTATAAAGATTTTTTTTTAAAGAATGTGACATCAAAACGACAAACACTGACCACGTCATTAACATATTCACTAATCAACGTAACGTTCTACACAAGATGAAACTTGCCACAATTAATACTGAAAAAAAAAGAACGGTATGATATTTTATACACAGTATAACTAAGAGTTAAAAGTAAACTTAGTTATTACCAGTTATTGTGCATTACATAAGAAGAGCCATTCCCTTTTTAGCCACGACCTGCTGGCCTTTAGTGGTACTTCAGCCAAAAAGCAGTTTTAAAAAATCACTACTTGAGTGGATGTGCATTATTTATTTGCCGTTATCACGTGTGTAGCAGCAGGAAGGTAAAAAGTCCAACTTCTGTGAAACAATGATTTGTTTTTAAAGTGACTAGATTAGAAGAGGAGACACGTGATTGGACAGACACCGATCAGCTGACGACCAGTATGTGGTTAAAGTCTGTGAAGTCCACTCTAAACAACAGCAGACATTGGCTTTGAGCTAAAGTGCCACGACGAATCAGGTCCGGTCTGAGGTTCTGACCCTGTTCCTCTCTCTCTCTGACAGTCAACTACACTCGCCCCGTCATCATCCTTGGACCCATGAAGGACCGGGTCAACGACGACCTGATATCGGAGTTCCCCGACAAGTTTGGTTCCTGTGTTCCACGTGAGTTCCTCAGAGCAGCGGCCCGTGTCGTGGTGTTGGTTCTGGGGATGTAACCTGGTTTTAAATTTGGCCCCGCCCTCAGATACCACCCGGCCCAAGCGAGAGTACGAGGTGGACGGTCGGGATTATCACTTTGTGGTTTCCAGAGAGCAGATGGAGAAGGACATCCAGGAGCACAAGTTCATCGAGGCGGGACAGTACAACAACCATCTGTACGGGACCAGCGTTCAGTCGGTGCGCCAGGTGGCCGAGAAGGTACCGCCCCCTGCTGGTCTTATACAGCATCTGTCCATGATCTCCTGCTGCACTGCTGCCCCCTGTGGGCTGACTGGTGTACGTCCTCACCTTGGTCATGTGACTGGATTTTTCAGGGGAAACACTGCATCTTGGACGTGTCGGGAAACGCCATCAAGCGCCTGCAGGTGGCGCAGCTCCATCCGATTGCTGTCTTCATCAAACCCAAGTCTGTGGAGAACATCATGTGAGTTTGATGGGCGGAGTCTTCCTTCTACTTCCTGTTTCCTGTCTCTCACTGACGTGTTTGTGTTTTTAGGGAGATGAACAAACGACTGACGGAGGAGCAGAGCAGGAAAACCTACGAGAGAGCCTTGAAACTGGAGCAGGAGTTCACTGAGCACTTCACAGGTGAGGAGGTGCAGGAGGAGGAGGAGGAGGAGGAGCGGTGTGTCAGTACGACTCCGTGTGTTAACTCTGTGTGTGTGTGTGTGTGTGTGTGCGAGAGCAGCCATCGTCCTGGGAGACTCTCTGGAGAACATCTACGACCAGGTGAAGCAGATCATCGAGGACCAGTCTGGACCTGTCATCTGGATCCAGTCCAAGGAGAAACTCTGAACTCCAGCTGCACTCCTCCTGCTCCCCTCTCTGACCTTCTCTTCTTCCTGTTTGTCTCCTTCACCTCCATCCTTCACCTCCATCCTTCACCTCCTGGTGTCACCGGGCCAGAACAAGTTTTCTCCTCATCCCCCCCCCCCCTCCTCACAGTGTCTTCTCCTGAAGGAGTGGAACAGGAAGTGTGATGACATCACAGAGGAAGTGGAGGAGTCAGTGAAAGTCCACAATGTTTCTCTGACACAGACTTTGAAGCAAAAGCGAAACTTTGCACGTTTGAGTTTTAACAGCACGTCACATGATTTCCCATCAGCCCCTTCACCTCAGTGTCTCCTCTTCATCTCTCCATCTTTTTTTTTTTTCTAACATTTGAGTGTAATGTTGTTTGACAGTGGCCAGCTCTGCCACTGGGGGCGCACTCATCATTTCCATTTCACTGTTAACTTTGGTTTGGTTGTTGTTGAACATTTTTTCCCAAACGTCACAGTGGCAAAAAAAAGTCCCAGAATTAAAAAGAAAAAAAATTTAAATTTCCTCCAGAAAAATATTTTGTAACTTAAACAAAGTTTATATTTTTATTACCGTTCAAAACATTCAAATTATTTTTAGAAAATATAAAAAAAAAAAGAAACATTTATCATTGTTTTCCACAGCAGCGCCCTCATGTGGCAGCAGCTGTGATTATGTGATGCGGTATAAAGAAACTGCCTATTTTGTTATGAATCATATGATAATTTAGATCTGAAAAAATGGGAAACCAGTTTTTTATCCCCCCCCCCCCCACACACACACCCTCAGACGCCC